TGACTTACTATATGTTTATGCATTTTTTAGCCTTATGTGTGGTGTGCATTTTTTAGATTGGAAGTTCTTACATCTTTTGAATGGAACTAATATTTGTAGGCATTTTCTGATTACTTGAAAGAACGTGAGATGGAATGAAGGTGCCTCTTCTATTAGATCTTAAAGTAAGTTTCTTTTTCGAATATACTTTCTGCATTTTCAGAGAGAGTGTGTGTGTGCAGTGTAAAGGCCGCAGTGAAATTATATGGTAGGATATGTGACTGAAACTATGTTCAGTTGCCTTTTTTATTACATGATTTTAGTAAATATTTTTCTGACTTCCTCAAAACGAACTTTTCCTTTTGGGGGGGTTCCCTTCTGTAATGGTCAAACAATTTGTTTTGTCTGTGAAAATTGTCTTGACTGGGCAAGAATCCTTTTTCATGTTATTTTGTTGATTTTTAAGTTATTACAATTGTTATTTGATAAATTTTCTTGATTTCATAGATTAATCTCCGTTGATTTAGTTTCTCGTGTCCATTTTATTTTTTAAGGAAAAAATGTTTTGTGTGTGTGTGGAAAGTATATCCATCTGTATGTGGAAGCATATTTCATATAAAACATATATTCACCTTCTTTTGTTAGGTAACTATGAAGCTTTGCACATCTGCTTTCCATAATGTTTACTCTTGCAAATTTTATAGGCTAATGTTGCTAAATCTAATTTCTTTCAGTTCAGATGATGTGATGATTATTGATAGTGTTAAAGATTACTCACCAGATTGCTGAAATGATAGGGTTGAGAAGTGACACTGAATTTCTCCAAGCTTTCGTAAGTTTTGCCTCACTTGTTAGTTTTGGCTGACTTCAACTTTAATAAGTTTGTTGAGCCAAATATTTCTTATTAACAGCATCGACGTACTTAATTTATTTTACGCTTGAAACAACAAATGTACGTTTCCTCCTCTTTTCTTCTGGAAGCTACATCAAAATGGAATTGTCTTCTATGTGAAGATTTTCTTCTTCTGAATTGCAGGTACGCACTATCACATAAGTTGACGTCTCTCTATATGGCAGCATATGAGCCATCAGGTAGACATGTTCAACTGAGGTTTCTGGGCAATCATTGGCAACTTCATCTCAAGACAGCTCCCATTTCAATCCTTGTCATACGACATGGTTCACTGCACCCAGTGTAGCATTGTCTGGGATGACAAAGGTAAAATCCTCATTATGGTTTAGGATTTTGTTATCCCCCCTGAATCACCGTTTGTTTTTCAGATTGAGTGCAGTGGCTTTTATTGATTTTTCACCGAGAAAAATACTTCAAATTACTTGAACAGTTAGCCTCGTATGTATTGGTTAACTAGTCTTGTGTTTTTTTTGTATGCATTTTTTATTTTTATTTTTTGTTTATTACTTTTGTTTGATGCTATAGCTATCTGTGATTAATTTTGCAATGATAATATTAGGCTTGCTGTGAGGATGGACAGAAGGAAAAGAAAGTGAGGGATCCACACAAGCGAAAGATTCCTCCAAGTGCTTTTTTGTTTTCATGTATGCCCCATTTGTATTTTGAGTGTGTCCATCTTTTCTGTCTATTTTTTTTGGAGTCCATTTAATTGCAAGAATGGAATTTGGATGGAAAGAAAACGAATTCTAGAGAATTGAATTGCCTATAATTTGTTTTATTGGGAATCGTCAATTAAATGTGTATGATTGGTATAATTTTTCACCTGAAAAATGTTGAAATTTTGAATCTTTTGGTATTCGTTTGGCTTTGATTTTCATTAAAATTGGCAATTAAATGGATATAATTTGTTACAATTGTGGATATAATTTGTTTCCATTGCAAAAAAAAAAAAAAAATAATAATAATAATAATAATAATAAATTTTAAATTTTTAAAAAAAAATCTGGAAAACTGATTT